AAAGATTTAATAAATGTTAACGTTTTGGCTATATTTTTGAAAATCAGAAGTGTAGTACGTTGTCAAATCGATTGTACGTTGTCCCATTGAATTTACAGATTTCAATTCACAGTTTTAACCCTAGTACAGGTAACGTATTTTTCATTTACATAACACGTGCCTAACCATCGACAAGGTACAGTGACAAAATATACCGTGGTACACTTTAGATGTACGATGTCACTATTTAATAGATTGGAAGCAAAGACAATGATGTAGGTTTGATGTAGGTTTTAAAAAAATAATCTGAGGAATGCATTAAGGGTTTCATGCTTGACTTTTTTGTGTATTCGTTCAGGAAGACATTTAACTTTCTAATAACGTTAAAAGATTTTCGAGCAATGCTCGATTTTTTCGTAGTCAATCTACCCATATATTTGGTTGGTTGGAAAATGTTGTGTTTTTACACATTTCCTTTGATCATTTCCTCCCCTGTCGTCTAAGAGTGTCGAAGATTTTTATGAGAATATGTTTCTTTAAACAGCACAATTAAGGTCTGTTGAAGATTTAACAAGTATTAACATTTTGGCTATAATTTTAAAAATCATAAGTGTATGTTGTCATCTCGAATGTACGTTGTCCCAATGAACTTACTCAATTCACAGTTAACCCTAATGCAGACAATGTATTTTCATAACACTAACAGACAGGGGGGTCAGATGCAATTAAAATTGAAACAGAACAATTACAGAATTACTTCAATTTGATTGAACTATTGAAACTTTCCAGATATATCATAAACAGGATTTTAAAAAGTCATATTAAATAAGCTAGTATAGATCAGTAGATCTATCTATCAATGTAACTTACAAAACGTAAGGAACAGACGCCAAATAATCAAACAGGCTGGAAGCAGGCTCAGTGGCAGTGCTAGTCTTCAACATATTCTATTGCGAGACACTGAATGGGAGTTTTGGCTGGAAGCTAACACCAAATGGGCACAAATTAACCAGCACCACCACCACAACAATTCTTTCATAAAATGAAAAAGCACAAAGGATACTTGAACATGATGGTTAAAGATCACTTGTTACTCATAAAAACCTTAATTAATTTTGAAATGAAAGCATTACATTGTTTAATATTACGTATATCTCATGAATTTCAATTACAGGGACTACGTACATTCGAGTCCGATTTTTTCAATTACAATAAATACTTGAATATTTATTAATCACCACCCATCCTAAATTGTGTAGTATAGAGAAACATATTCTCGTAAAAGTAATCGACACTCTTAGGCAACAGGGTAAAAAATGATCAAAGAAAATGTGAAAAACCCAACATTTTCCTACCGATCAATTTTCGTGGGTAGATTGACTACGAAAAAATCGAGCACTGCTCGAAAATCTTTTAACGTTATTAGAAAGTTAAATGTCTTCCTAAACGAATACACACGAAATTAAATATGAAATCTTTCAAGTATTCCCAAGATTATTTTTTTAAAACCTACATCACACCTGCATCATTGTCTTTGCTTCAAATCGGTTAAATAGTGACATCGTACATCTAAAGTGTTCTATGTTATATGTTGTCAATGTACCATGTCGATGGTTAGGCGTGTAACACCTACATCATAGTATTTACTACAAATCAGTTAACATTGACAACGTACATCCAAAGTGTACAACGATATTTTTGTCACTGTGCGTTGTCGATGGTTAAGCGTGAAACCTGTTTTCAACAGGTGTGTGATCCTGCGGTCATGCCATAATTCATTTGATGTAAATATACATATTTATGTAATGTAAAAAATAAAAGTTCGCTACAGGCGGACCTATTAGCACATACAATAATTATTGTTATGTTTGGTTTATAATCAACAGGCAGTAAACACGAATAGGGGCACTGTGTTCTAGCTTGCCCTGTAACATAATGTACACTATGTGAGCCAATAGGATTCCAGCTTTTGTTTTGGCAGAGGTCGAACAGAGTAGCTCAATATCAGAAATTGTCAGTTTGATCAACTCACTATCTCTAGTACACGATATATTCATAAAGGAATGATTGGACACCACTGTTGTAAATGCCAAAAGACTTGTTTGCTTGGGATTGTTTGAATTCCATATGATTAATTTATTTGACACTCTTTCACTTCCAAATAGATTAATTACTCCATTCGACATTTTATCAATCTTGTTACTTGTTCTATATGGCAGGATAACAATGGTCACGGTGAAAATAATGCAAAAACATACTTGCTAAAATATGTATTCTGGAACTCTAAAAACTGCTAGAAAAAATTAAAAGGTAGTGCTACAGGTGGACAACGTATTATAAAATGTGAACTTCAACTCGTCAGAGTATTCTTTCTGAACATGTACGGAAAACCTATAATGCACGCAGCACTCAAGTCACGTATATTGCATTGGCAGTGGGGTTTACCCATTGTATTTAATCATTATTGCAGGAATGCAATATATGACACTGCATTTATGTATGAAAAAACATTCTAAAATATTTTCCTACATACCTCTGCCTCTGATCTCTGCTTTTCTTCTGCCAGGCTATTTTTTGACATTGCCACCTCGTCTTGTAGAGATTTTAACTTAGAGGAAAGATCCAAAGCCTGCAATTGAAAAAAGATTTGAAATATAGATATCCATAGAAACTGATAAGGTTCGAATGGCAACATTTTATATTATCAAAAACATTCTAAAATACTTTCTTACTCACCTCTGCCTCTGATCTTTGCCTTTCTTCTGTCAGGTTATTATTTGTCATTGTCAGCTCATTTTGTAAAGATTTCACCTTGGAAGAAAGATCTAGAGTCTTAAAAAATATTTGAAGTACAAAACTCAAAGGAATGTGTTTTAGGTGCAACAATTAGTGCAGGGGGGGGGGGGGGGGGGCATTCGACGATCATCGACCAGTGTCAAAATATACTTAAGTTTGAATATTTCATCAAGACTAATATATATTTTTATTATCTACAAAGAAACCCCCTGGATGAACATTATTTCAGCTGACATTCCTCTTGAAACGTGGTAAATCTTTAAAAAAAAATCAGAAAAAATCAAAAAAAAAAATTCTCTTTACAATACTTGTTGGCCCTTTAAGCTCAAATGGTAACATTTATATATGAAAAGAAAATCTTCTAAAATATTTCCCTACATACCTCTGCCGCTGACCTCTGCTTTTCTTCAGTTAGGTTATTATTTGCCATAACCAGCTCATCCTGTAGAGATTTCAACTTGGAAGAAAGATTCAGAGCCTGCAAATGAACAAAGATTTGAAATATAGGAATCATCAAATGAATGTGTATAGATTCGAATGAACATCTATGTATAAAAAACATTCTAAATATTTCCCTACATACCTCTGCCTCTGACCTCTGCTTTTCTTCAGTTAGGGTATTATTCGCCATCGCGAGCTCATCCTGTAGAGATTTCACCTTAGAAGAAAGATTCAGAGCCTGCAAATGAACAAAGATTTGAAATGTAGGAATCATCAAATGAATGAATAAATGCACGGAGCACACCACGTCTCGAACTTGCACCCTCATGATTACGGCGCCCAATCGCCTAAGCCCTCTCGGCCAACTCGACAACCCCAAAAAAAGTTGTTTTGTTAGTCGATCTGACTAGGGGCAGCAGATGTTAACGCTCAAACACACCAGAGGAAGCACAGCTGACATTCCCTACCCTTTCAATTAGCCACCCTTTCCATTTGGCATTTGTGCTTATATATGTGGCGAAGTTGAGTCTCTCTATCTTTTCCAAAACATGAAAACAAATATAGTTTAAAATATTAATTTATTAAAGAAAATTTAAAGTCCAAAAATGTCATTTCAATCGGCTACTTACAGTTTTTGGTTAGTCCCGAGTTCACGCAATGAGGTTCCGAGGATTTCAGACAAAATTGCCCCTTTTATACCCAATTTTTTATGTGGGCCCCGCCAAAATAAGGGGTCTTATCCAATGAAATTCGCTCAAAACCCATTAACAAAAATTGGCCGGAAAGAAGTGTGAAAAATTATATGAAGATTAATTATCAACATGCCAAATTTCTGCCCACATTATTTTCTAAAAAGTTGAAAAGTTCCCATTTATTTCAGTTTTTGTTGAAACTTTTGAGACAGGTATGATTAATAACTGAATCCCAGAACCTCGGTTCAGACAATTCTCATGAACTTTTTACCCTACTCATTTAAACCATTAAGTCATTATCTCTTCAAAATACATGTTTTATAATATTTTAAACAATAAAAGTTAGCAAATTCTTTATACAATTACATTACAATGTTGTTCATATATCAAAATGTGTATTTCACCTACAAAATACTGGTTTTTGGTCAATTTGTACCTCATCACCCATCAATTTATCATATCTTATTGTTTTACAAAAATGACATCATATACCAATATGTTTATGAATCTATGGAAGCTAGACAAAACATCATTAATTGAATATGATAGCTTCTTGGCTTCATTCAAAGTTATACTGTCACTCAATAGACTAGACTTCCCCCTTTCTTGGAACCACTTCTTGCCATTGGCTATGTGATTTACCTGTCAAATCTACCATCAGTCCTTACTATAAAACATGTTCAATTGAATGCAAGATATCTTTATCTAAGTTTAACTTTGGCATTCCACAACATCCATAGAAGTTTATGATTGCGTCATTGAGTTCAAGGTAATATTGATAAATTACTAAATTAATAACATTTTCCATCGTAGAAGCCTCAGTTAATTTTACAAAAATTAAATGGAAGTGAACAATTTCTTCTTGTTTTACATTATGATGTCTTATTCGAAAGTTGTTTATATTCACATGCCAAGAAATGATGCATCTTCAATGTCTACAGTAAACAAAGCTTCCAGTTCCCAAAACATTCTGCCGTTATGATGATATCAGCATAACAGAAGTATTTATCCCAAGATTTCTGTATTTGTAAGCAATTTGTAGAGTATTATGACCTAAGTTTCAAAAATCTATGAACTAAAAATCAAACTTTGTCACATTCCTCCCACCTAACAAATTTGTTTGTCCTCAAACAATAAAAGGATCTAAGAAAAGTGCTAACTTTTTGTTTCAGTGATTACATATTAATAGCTTAAGTTTACTTGGACATGCCTATTTACAATTTGAAACAAATGTCAATGTATTGTGTACATATTTTCAATTGTTATCTTTGTTAACAAGTTAACTAGCCCAGTTTCTAATGTGGTTATAGTGGTTATAAGTTATATTATTGAGTATAATATAATATATAAAATACAGTATAATAAGTGTTCAAGTCTCATTCCAGTCCTTGGTTTGGTTCATCCTTTTTGGCTTTCTCTTGTCCAGGCATATGTCTTCTTAAGAATACATTCCTGAGACGAATGAAGAGTTTTTCGTGAATCTTTTCCTTTCTTAGCACATACAGTCCCAGAATCAGAGCAATAACAATGAAGATAACTTGGAAAATTTCTATAATCCAGTGTTGTTCAAAAGCTAAATCAATGTCAGTATCGGATTCCCATTTTCCGTCAATGATAAGGGATCGAACTACGTCATCCATATCTCTGTTAAACTCACTAGCTTGGGACATGACCTCTGGCAGGGGTGGTAACTCTCTGTCCTTCAAATCCTCTCCATTCTCTTTTGGCATCATCTGTTGATACTTGATGACGAATGGTGTTCGAACACTTACATGTTCGATAAACTGGAATACATCAGCATTACAAAATGGAGCTATCAGTTCATCCCTATCACCATTCTGGATTCTACAGCTACACGGTAATGTTACCACACATAATTTATACATTTGTCCCGGTCGAATAAAGTTTTGTATAATAGGGTCTGCTTGGAAGATGTGTTCTCAATTAAAATATAAGGTCCAAGCAATGAGAGTTTGTCACTATTAAATGTCAATGCAACATTGTACTGACAGTAGTCCATTGGTTTATAGGGATCTCCTCGGAACAGATGTAAAGTGCAAGCATTTGCCACACTCCATTTGCAACTTGAAGAGTGATTCGAGTTGGACTTAATTCCACATATTCCTTTATCGAATCGAAAAGCTTAGCGTTTATAATATTTACAGCAGCACCAGTATCCAATAAGCAGTTTATATGTTGATTATATATAAGCACTGGTAGCTTAAATCCTCCTATCTCTTCTACGAGATATGTTTCCTCCTTGGGTTCTTCTTTGGGTCCATCAGTATAACTAGCTGTGTCTCGACCCATAGACTCAGCTATTTCTCGTTTCCCTGTTGCTGATTCGCTTTCTTTTTCAGCCAATTTTTAAACGAATAGCAATCTTGTTTGACGTGACATTTCTTGTTGCAGAAAAAACATACGCCTTGGGTTCTTGCTTCTTCATATGATAGCCTCTTTGGAGCTGGGCTACTTTTGGCGACTTCTGGGTTTGTTGGCTTATTATATTGGACAGTACTCATTCTGTATGGTCGTCGACTTCCTATATTATCTGCTTGGAAGGCTTCATACTCCAACCCCAGACTTACTGCATCATCGATTGTTTTGGGTGTACCTTGGTAAATCGCCCTTTTCATGTCAAAGTTCAGTATTGCTTCCATTAATTGATCCAAAGCTAATTGACTCCGTACTTCATAGGTTGTCTTGGGCAACGCTTTTCTGACTAATTTCTTAAGGTCCTGTGCAAGTTCAGGGAGTTGTTTCTCTTACGATTTTTCAGCTGTGTTTTATACATTTGTAGCTGATCTTCTGGTTCAAACCTATTTTGCAAGGCTGAACAAAGTTTCTCATAGTCGCGTCTATCTGCTTCGCTTATATCAGACAATATACCCAATGCCAGTCCTCTTAAAGTGGTTGCCAGTTCAAGGGCCTTTGTTGTTTCATCCCAATTATTAGATGCTGAGACCATTTCGAAGTGGCATTTGAAGTCTTGCCACGATGTCGATCCATTTTATTCAGCCGGTTTCTTGGCCTTTCGCTTCTCAATACGCTCATTTGTGTTTGGTACTTCAAGTTTGGATAGCACTTCTGGCAGCCATCGTTTGTCAGACCAAGGGTATTGCATCTCCTCTTTGTTCTGTTGTCTGTCACTTAAAGGATATTGATTCGCCTCCCTATTGGCGTCTGTAGTAGGAAATCGTCGTTCCTCCCTCCAAGGATATTGTTGTGCCTTCTTGTGGGCATCCCCTGTAGGTAACCGTCATTCCTCAGGCCAAGAATATTGGTGTGCCTTCTTGGTGGTATCCCCCGTAGGTAATTGTTGTTCCTCAGTCCAAGAATATTGGTGTGCCTTCTTGGTTGCATCCCCCGTAGGTAATTGTTGTTCCCCGGGCCAAGAATATTGGTGTGCCTTCTTGGTGGCATCCCCGTAGGTAATTGTTGTTCCCCGGGCCAAGAATATTGGTGTGCCTTCTTGGTGGCATCCCCCGTAGGTAATTGTGGTTCCTCAGTCCAAGAATATTAGTGTGCCTTCTTGGTGGCATCCCCCGTAGGTAATTGTGGTTCCTCAGTCCAAGAATATTGGTGTGCCTTCTTGGGGGCATCATCCGGATAAGGTTGTTCTTCAGTCCAAGAATATTGGTGTGCCTTCTTGGTGGCATCCCCCGTAGGTAATTTTAGTTCCTCAATCCAAGAATATTGGTGTGCCTTCTTGGTGGCATCTGTAGTGGAAGGCCATTCCATTTGTAGAGGATTGGACGTCGCTCCTCCTATGGCGACAGGGTAGGTTCGAAAATTGACTGCCTTCTTCTTTGGGAATGCTCCCATTTGAAGCACCTACATCGGCTTTTGTCAATGATTGCTGTGGCGAGAGTACCTCCATATCAATCTGAAGCACTTGTAAATCTGAAGGGATGGATGTTACCAATCCTTCCGATACGACTTCCTGTAGCCTTGGTGTTTCGTTTTATACATCATTGATAGTTTAATATGTCTCGCTCTCTGGATCGAAATTCTTTGACTTCATCACATAAGCGGAAATTGACGTCGCTTTCCGTGGTGCGACACAAGTGACAGTATTTTTCTTGGAATTACTCCCGAGAAAATAGATGTATGACTCGTATTAACATGTGACTGCCAGCTTGTAAGGTTGTGAGTGCGTGTGTGAACAACTGCAGGTCTTTGCTACCGTCATCAAACGTTTTGGCACAGTAGTAGTTGACTTTATGGAGCCCCCAGTCTAGACTCCCTGCAATTGTCGCTAATTATATTCATAGATCATTGATGGTCTTTGGCTTCTTGGCCCCTCTTCTTCTGTATTCTTGGTGTATATATACCAACATCAGAGGATATGGGACACCCTTTAGCATTCCATCTTCCTATCTGTCAATCAAATCTTGATCAGGGATTTGATCTCAGGTCCAGGTATGCTTCAATGATCTAGTTTGACTGAGTTGTTTTAAGTCGACTTTATTGAGAACTCCATTACACGATCTGGGTCTTGGCAAAAACATGAACTTTCATGGTAAATTTCCATGTTTCTTTTTGTTTTGTTATATTTTATCAATGGATGGCAAGTTGTCATGAATTGTAATCTAGTTTCCCTTCATAAAATCTTTGACCTTAAGTGTGAACAAGAAGCATGTCAACTTAATATTCTTCTTAACTAACTTGCTAGACACGCTAAACAAGCATAGCATAAAAGCTCAGAATGATTACCACTGAAATTGACCAAATAATTTTACTACAAAAATCTACATTCCTAAATAGATGTGGCAACAGTATTTAAAGTTGCCTTGACTTAATCCTAATATTTTCAGTTTCAGAAATGTGATGTTACAAATTATGCAAGTCATTGAACAAGCATGAATTATTTATTTACTTAATATTCAGAAAACTTAAGATACTTTTTGAATAGTTCTGGAAGTGGTATTTCTGTTATGTCTTTTATCTGCACCAGATCTTGAATTTTTATGATGCAGTTGGCTTTTAAGGTTGTTGGTACATCTTGAAATTCGAAAAATTCTGTGATGTTTTCATATTTCTTTTGAAGTTTTGAAATTTTCTCAAAATTGTATTGAACAAACCCGTTTTTTACATATGAAATGTGACAATTCCTGAAAATGTGAAATTCATCCAGTTTAATATAGCCTGGCACTATGATTTGAGCATCTGACATGTGTTCATCAATAAGATGTCTATATGTTCTTAACAGCAAATTAGATCGCTTAATAAGACTGTATTGAAGACCTGTTATTGGAAGTGATCCCTGATTCGGGAAAATTAGGGTAATCCTCGGCATTCTAAAATTTAATTACCTGCGGTGTACTTGTTATTAAATTGTAAATACAAGTCTAACAAAAATTACTGGCTATGTTTATTCAACAAAAGTGTCATCTTTTACATTTCCTCAAGTTTCGCAAAAATAAAATCAATTCATAAATTTACAGTGTTTTACAGTAGTGATACTTTCACAGTTTATATTTGAATGTGTTGCGCCTTATCAAAAATTAATCGTTCCAGGGAGATGTTTCCCAAAAACGTCATAACAGTCATCATAACATAACATAAACTAGTTCACCACTCATGCCAAGTAAGTTAAACAACTAGAACAGAAATGTATGCCTGTAAAAAGCTGGTCATATCACTACATTTTAGCAATGGAACAACATCAACAAACTGGATTAATACTGAAATGAATAAGTTCAATACCAATAACATTAAATCAATGTGTAAAAACAATGCAAAACAAAACTCCCAGAAATCATTCTATCTGCAGTTTTAAAAGAAAGTCTCAAATTTACTTGGAATTCAAACCAAAATAAAAAGTTAAGTACTGGTCAACATGTGATTTTGAGGGTAAGTAAAACATTCTTTTGAATTTATTGAAAACATACTTATTTTATCAGTCAAATGCGAATATGAATCATTAACGTCTCGGTCATGTTGTAGATCTACTGATAACTAAATTTAAGTCAAAATTCACCGACAAGAAAAACAGAAAATATACTTCATACTAAATGAATTAAAATATTGAGTTCTTTACTAACAAAAGCTGAATACATAATCCCTCCTAAAACCTTAATTTTGTATAAAATCCAAAATAATCATCAAGAATATCAACCTTTGAAATATAAAAAATTCTCAATTCCTTTATTTGAGTAAATGACTTGGTCAAATCATTTTATTCTGATTTTCCTTCTTATAATAAACCAACCAAATCAGACAGTTCTTTTAACAACTTTTCTGTGCATAAAAATGAAGTGTTTTACCGTAGTCTTGCTGTTTAAATAAGCTAGTATAGATCAGTAGATCTATCTATCAATGTAACTTACAAAACGTAAGGAACAGACGCCAAATAATCAAACAGGCTGGAAGCAGGCTCAGTGGCAGTGCTAGTCTTCAACATATTCTATTGCGAGACACTGAATGGGAGTTTTGGCTGGAAGCTAACACCAAATGGGCACAAATTAACCAGCACCACCACCACAACAATTCTTTCATAAAATGAAAAAGCACAAAGGATACTTGAACATGATGGTTAAAGATCACTTGTTACTCATAAAAACCTTAATTAATTTTGAAATGAAAGCATTACATTGTTTAATATTACGTATATCTCATGAATTTCAATTACAGGGACTACGTACATTCGAGTCCGATTTTTTCAATTACAATAAATACTTGAATATTTATTAATCACCACCCATCCTAAATTGTGTAGTATAGAGAAACATATTCTCGTAAAAGTAATCGACACTCTTAGGCAACAGGGTAAAAAATGATCAAAGAAAATGTGAAAAACCCAACATTTTCCTACCGATCAATTTTCGTGGGTAGATTGACTACGAAAAAATCGAGCACTGCTCGAAAATCTTTTAACGTTATTAGAAAGTTAAATGTCTTCCTAAACGAATACACACGAAATTAAATATGAAATCTTTCAAGTATTCCCAAGATTATTTTTTTAAAACCTACATCACACCTGCATCATTGTCTTTGCTTCAAATCGGTTAAATAGTGACATCGTACATCTAAAGTGTTCTATGTTATATGTTGTCAATGTACCATGTCGATGGTTAGGCGTGTAACACCTACATCATAGTATTTACTACAAATCAGTTAACATTGACAACGTACATCCAAAGTGTACAACGATATTTTTGTCACTGTGCGTTGTCGATGGTTAAGCGTGAAACCTGTTTTCAACAGGTGTGTGATCCTGCGGTCATGCCATAATTCATTTGATGTAAATATACATATTTATGTAATGTAAAAAATAAAAGTTCGCTACAGGCGGACCTATTAGCACATACAATAATTATTGTTATGTTTGGTTTATAATCAACAGGCAGTAAACACGAATAGGGGCACTGTGTTCTAGCTTGCCCTGTAACATAATGTACACTATGTGAGCCAATAGGATTCCAGCTTTTGTTTTGGCAGAGGTCGAACAGAGTAGCTCAATATCAGAAATTGTCAGTTTGATCAACTCACTATCTCTAGTACACGATATATTCATAAAGGAATGATTGGACACCACTGTTGTAAATGCCAAAAGACTTGTTTGCTTGGGATTGTTTGAATTCCATATGATTAATTTATTTGACACTCTTTCACTTCCAAATAGATTAATTACTCCATTCGACATTTTATCAATCTTGTTACTTGTTCTATATGGCAGGATAACAATGGTCACGGTGAAAATAATGCAAAAACATACTTGCTAAAATATGTATTCTGGAACTCTAAAAACTGCTAGAAAAAATTAAAAGGTAGTGCTACAGGTGGACAACGTATTATAAAATGTGAACTTCAACTCGTCAGAGTATTCTTTCTGAACATGTACGGAAAACCTATAATGCACGCAGCACTCAAGTCACGTATATTGCATTGGCAGTGGGGTTTACCCATTGTATTTAATCATTATTGCAGGAATGCAATATATGACACTGCATTTATGTATGAAAAAACATTCTAAAATATTTTCCTACATACCTCTGCCTCTGATCTCTGCTTTTCTTCTGCCAGGCTATTTTTTGACATTGCCACCTCGTCTTGTAGAGATTTTAACTTAGAGGAAAGATCCAAAGCCTGCAATTGAAAAAAGATTTGAAATATAGATATCCATAGAAACTGATAAGGTTCGAATGGCAACATTTTATATTATCAAAAACATTCTAAAATACTTTCTTACTCACCTCTGCCTCTGATCTTTGCCTTTCTTCTGTCAGGTTATTATTTGTCATTGTCAGCTCATTTTGTAAAGATTTCACCTTGGAAGAAAGATCTAGAGTCTTAAAAAATATTTGAAGTACAAAACTCAAAGGAATGTGTTTTAGGTGCAACAATTAGTGCAGGGGGGGGGCATTCGACGATCATCGACCAGTGTCAAAATATACTTAAGTTTGAATATTTCATCAAGACTAATATATATTTTTATTATCTACAAAGAAACCCCCTGGATGAACATTATTTCAGCTGACATTCCTCTTGAAACGTGGTAAATCTTTAAAAAAAAATCAGAAAAAATCAAAAAAAAAAATTCTCTTTACAATACTTGTTGGCCCTTTAAGCTCAAATGGTAACATTTATATATGAAAAGAAAATCTTCTAAAATATTTCCCTACATACCTCTGCCGCTGACCTCTGCTTTTCTTCAGTTAGGTTATTATTTGCCATAACCAGCTCATCCTGTAGAGATTTCAACTTGGAAGAAAGATTCAGAGCCTGCAAATGAACAAAGATTTGAAATATAGGAATCATCAAATGAATGTGTATAGATTCGAATGAACATCTATGTATAAAAAACATTCTAAATATTTCCCTACATACCTCTGCCTCTGACCTCTGCTTTTCTTCAGTTAGGGTATTATTCGCCATCGCGAGCTCATCCTGTAGAGATTTCACCTTAGAAGAAAGATTCAGAGCCTGCAAATGAACAAAGATTTGAAATGTAGGAATCATCAAATGAATGAATAAATGCACGGAGCACACCACGTCTCGAACTTGCACCCTCATGATTACGGCGCCCAATCGCCTAAGCCCTCTCGGCCAACTCGACAACCCCAAAAAAAGTTGTTTTGTTAGTCGATCTGACTAGGGGCAGCAGATGTTAACGCTCAAACACACCAGAGGAAGCACAGCTGACATTCCCTACCCTTTCAATTAGCCACCCTTTCCATTTGGCATTTGTGCTTATATATGTGGCGAAGTTGAGTCTCTCTATCTTTTCCAAAACATGAAAACAAATATAGTTTAAAATATTAATTTATTAAAGAAAATTTAAAGTCCAAAAATGTCATTTCAATCGGCTACTTACAGTTTTTGGTTAGTCCCGAGTTCACGCAATGAGGTTCCGAGGATTTCAGACAAAATTGCCCCTTTTATACCCAATTTTTTATGTGGGCCCCGCCAAAATAAGGGGTCTTATCCAATGAAATTCGCTCAAAACCCATTAACAAAAATTGGCCGGAAAGAAGTGTGAAAAATTATATGAAGATTAATTATCAACATGCCAAATTTCTGCCCACATTATTTTCTAAAAAGTTGAAAAGTTCCCATTTATTTCAGTTTTTGTTGAAACTTTTGAGACAGGTATGATTAATAACTGAATCCCAGAACCTCGGTTCAGACAATTCTCATGAACTTTTTACCCTACTCATTTAAACCATTAAGTCATTATCTCTTCAAAATACATGTTTTATAATATTTTAAACAATAAAAGTTAGCAAATTCTTTATACAATTACATTACAATGTTGTTCATATATCAAAATGTGTATTTCACCTACAAAATACTGGTTTTTGGTCAATTTGTACCTCATCACCCATCAATTTATCATATCTTATTGTTTTACAAAAATGACATCATATACCAATATGTTTATGAATCTATGGAAGCTAGACAAAACATCATTAATTGAATATGATAGCTTCTTGGCTTCATTCAAAGTTATACTGTCACTCAATAGACTAGACTTCCCCCTTTCTTGGAACCACTTCTTGCCATTGGCTATGTGATTTACCTGTCAAATCTACCATCAGTCCTTACTATAAAACATGTTCAATTGAATGCAAGATATCTTTATCTAAGTTTAACTTTGGCATTCCACAACATCCATAGAAGTTTATGATTGCGTCATTGAGTTCAAGGTAATATTGATAAATTACTAAATTAATAACATTTTCCATCGTAGAAGCCTCAGTTAATTTTACAAAAATTAAATGGAAGTGAACAATTTCTTCTTGTTTTACATTATGATGTCTTATTCGAAAGTTGTTTATATTCACATGCCAAGAAATGATGCATCTTCAATGTCTACAGTAAACAAAGCTTCCAGTTCCCAAAACATTCTGCCGTTATGATGATATCAGCATAACAGAAGTATTTATCCCAAGATTTCTGTATTTGTAAGCAATTTGTAGAGTATTATGACCTAAGTTTCAAAAATCTATGAACTAAAAATCAAACTTTGTCACATTCCTCCCACCTAACAAATTTGTTTGTCCTCAAACAATAAAAGGATCTAAGAAAAGTGCTAACTTTTTGTTTCAGTGATTACATATTAATAGCTTAAGTTTACTTGGACATGCCTATTTACAATTTGAAACAAATGTCAATGTATTGTGTACATATTTTCAATTGTTATCTTTGTTAACAAGTTAACTAGCCCAGTTTCTAATGTGGTTATAGTGGTTATAAGTTATATTATTGAGTATAATATAATATATAAAATACAGTATAATAAGTGTTCAAGTCTCATTCCAGTCCTTGGTTTGGTTCATCCTTTTTGGCTTTCTCTTGTCCAGGTATTCTTAAGAATACATTCCTGAGACGAATGAAGAGTTTTTCGTGAATCTTTTCCTTTCTTAGCACATACAGTCCCAGAATCAGAGCAATAACAATGAAGATAACTTGGAAAATTTCTATAATCCAGTGTTGTTCAAAAGCTAAATCAATGTCAGTATCGGATTCCCATTTTCCGTCAATGATAAGGGATCGAACTACGTCATCCATATCTCTGTTAAACTCACTAGCTTGGGACATGACCTCTGGCAGGGGTGGTAACTCTCTGTCCTTCAAATCCTCTCCATTCTCTTTTGGCATCATCTGTTGATACTTGATGACGAATGGTGTTCGAACACTTACATGTTCGATAAACTGGAATACATCAGCATTACAAAATGGAGCTATCAGTTCATCCCTATCACCATTCTGGATTCTACAGCTACACGGTAATGTTACCACACATAATTTATACATTTGTCCCGGTCGAATAAAGTTTTGTATAATAGGGTCTGCTTGGAAGATGTGTTCTCAATTAAAATATAAGGTCCAAGCAATGAGAGTTTGTCACTATTAAATGTCAATGCAACATTGTACTGACAGTAGTCCATTGGTTTATAGGGATCTCCTCGGAACAGATGTAAAGTGCAAGCATTTGCCACACTCCATTTGCAACTTGAAGAGTGATTCGAGTTGGACTTAATTCCACATATTCCTTTATCGAATCGAAAAGCTTAGCGTTTATAATATTTACAGCAGCACCAGTATCCAATAAGCAGTTTATATGTTGATTATATATAAGCACTGGTAGCTTAAATCCTCCTATCTCTTCTACGAGATATGTTTCCTCCTTGGGTTCTTCTTTGGGTCCATCAGTATAACTAGCTGTGTCTCGACCCATAGACTCAGCTATTTCTCGTTTCCCTGTTGCTGATTCGCTTTCTTTTTCAGCCAATTTTTAAACGAATAGCAATCTTGTTTGACGTGACATTTCTTGTTGCAGAAAAAACATACGCCTTGGGTTCTTGCTTCTTCATATGATAGCCTCTTTGGAGCTGGGCTACTTTTGGCGACTTCTGGGTTTGTTGGCTTATTATATTGGACAGTACTCATTCTGTATGGTCGTCGACTTCCTGTATTATCTGCTTGGAAGGCTTCATACTCCAACCCCAGACTTACTGCATCATCGATTGTTTTGGGTTTACCTTGGTAAATCGCCCTTTTCATGTCAAAGTTCAGTATTGCTTCCATTAATTGATCCAAAGCTAATTGACTCCGTACTTCATAGGTTGTCTTGGGCAACGCTTTTCTGACTAATTTCTTAAGGTCCTGTGCAAGTTCAGGGAGTTGTTTCTCTTACGATTTTTCAGCTGTGTTTTATACATTTGTAGCTGATCTTCTGGTTCAAACCTATTTTGCAAGGCTGAACAAAGTTTCTCATAGTCGCGTCTATCTGCTTCGCTTATATCAGACAATATACCCAATGCCAGTCCTCTTAAAGTGGTTGCCAGTTCAAGGGCCTTTGTTGTTTCATCCCAATTATTAGATGCTGAGACCATTTCGAAGTGGCATTTGAAGTCTTGCCACGATGTCGATCCATTTTATTCAGCCGGTTTCTTGGCCTTTCGCTTCTCAATACGCTCATTTGTGTTTGGTACTTCAAGTTTGGATAGCACTTCTGGCAGCCATCGTTTGTCAGACCAAGGGTATTGCATCTCCTCTTTGTTCTGTTGTCTGTCACTTAAAGGATATTGATTCGCCTCCCTATTGGCGTCTGTAGTAGGAAATCGTCGTTCCTCCCTCCAAGGATATTGTTGTGCCTTCTTGTGGGCATCCCCTGTAGGTAACCGTCATTCCTCAGGCCAAGAATATTGGTGTGCCTTCTTGGTGGTATCCCCCGTAGGTAATTGTTGTTCCTCAGTCCAAGAATATTGGTGTGCCTTCTTGGTTGCATCCCCCGTAGGTAATTGTTGTTCCCCGGGCCAAGAATATTGGTGTGCCTTCTTGGTGGCATCCCCGTAGGTAATTGTTGTTCCCCGGGCCAAGAATATTGGTGTGCCTTCTTGGTGGCATCCCCCGTAGGTAATTGTGGTTCCTCAGTCCAAGAATATTAGTGTGCCTTCTTGGTGGCATCCCCCGTAGGTAATTGTGGTTCCTCAGTCCAAGAATATTGGTGTGCCTTCTTGGGGGCATCATCCGGATAAGGTTGTTCTTCAGTCCAAGAATATTGGTGTGCCTTCTTGGTGGCATCCCCCGTAGGTAATTTTAGTTCCTCAATCCAAGAATATTGGTGTGCCTTCTTGGTGGCATCTGTAGTGGAAGGCCATTCCATTTGTAGAGGATTGGACGTCGCTCCTCCTATGGCGACAGGGTAGGTTCGAAAATTGACTGCCTTCTTCTTTGGGAATGCTCCCATTTGAAGCACCTACATCGGCTGTTGTCAATGATTGCTGTGGCGAGAGTACCTCCATATCAATCTGAAGCACTTGTAAATCTGAAGGGATGGATGTTACCAATCCTTCCGATACGACTTCCTGTAGCCTTGGTGTTTCGTTTTATACATCATTGATAGTTTAATATGTCTCGCTCTCTGGATCGAAATTCTTTGACTTCATCACATAAGCGGAAATTGACGTCGCTTTCCGTGGTGCGACACAAGTGACAGTATTTTTCTTGGAATTACTCCCGAGAAAATAGATGTATGACTCGTATTAACATGTGACTGCCAGCTTGTAAGGTTGTGAGTGCGTGTGTGAACAACTGCAGGTCTTTGCTACCGTCATCAAACGTTTTGGCACAGTAGTAGTTGACTTTATGGAGCCCCCAGTCTAGACTCCCTGCAATTGTCGCTAATTATATTCATAGATCATTGATGGTCTTTGGCTTCTTGGCCCCTCTTCTTCTGTATTCTTGGTGTATATATACCAACATCAGAGGATATGGGACACCCTTTAGCATTCCATCTTCCTATCTGTCAATCAAATCTTGATCAGGGATTTGATCTCAGGTCCAGGTATGCTTCAATGATCTAGTTTGACTGAGTTGTTTTAAGTCGACTTTATTGAGAACTCCATTACACGATCTGGGTCTTGGCAAAAACATGAACTTTCATGGTAAATTTCCATGTTTCTTTTTGTTTTGTTATATTTTATCAATGGATGGCAAGTTGTCATGAATTGTAATCTAGTTTCCCTTCATAAAATCTTTGACCTTAAGTGTGAACAAGAAGCATGTCAACTTAATATTCTTCTTAACTAACTTGCTAGACACGCTAAACAAGCATAGCATAAAAGCTCAGAATGATTACCACTGAAATTGACCAAATAATTTTACTACAAAAATCTACATTCCTAAATAGATGTGGCAACAGTATTTAAAGTTGCCTTGACTTAATCCTAATATTTTCAGTTTCAGAAATGTGATGTTACAAATTATGCAAGTCATTGAACAAGCATGAATTATTTATTTACTTAATATTCAGAAAACTTAAGATACTTTTTGAATAGTTCTGGAAGTGGTATTTCTGTTATGTCTTTTATCTGCACCAGATCTTGAATTTTTATGATGCAGTTGGCTTTTAAGGTTGTTGGTACATCTTGAAATTCGAAAAATTCTGTGATGTTTTCATATTTCTTTTGAAGTTTTGAAATTTTCTCAAAATTGTATTGAACAAACCCGTTTTTTACATATGAAATGTGACAATTCCTGAAAATGTGAAATTCATCCAGTTTAATATAGCCTGGCACTATGATTTGAGCATCTGACATGTGTTCATCAATAAGATGTCTATATGTTCTTAACAGCAAATTAGATCGCTTAATAAGACTGTATTGAAGACCTGTTATTGGAAGTGATCCCTGATTCGGGAAAATTAGGGTAATCCTCGGCATTCTAAAATTTAATTACCTGCGGTGTACTTGTTATTAAATTGTAAATACAAGTCTAACAAAAATTACTGGCTATGTTTATTCAACAAAAGTGTCATCTTTTACATTTCCTCAAGTTTCGCAAAAATAAAATCAATTCATAAATTTACAGTGTTTTACAGTAGTGATACTTTCACAGTTTATATTTGAATGTGTTGCGCCTTATCAAAAATTAATCGTTCCAGGGAGATGTTTCCCAAAAACGTCATAACAGTCATCATAACATAACATAAACTAGTTCACCACTCATGCCAAGTAAGTTAAACAACTAGAACAGAAATGTATGCCTGTAAAAAGCTGGTCATATCACTACATTTTAGCAATGGAACAACATCAACAAACTGGATTAATACTGAAATGAATAAGTTCAATACCAATAACATTAAATCAATGTGTAAAAACAATGCAAAACAAAACTCCCAGAAATCATTCTATCTGCAGTTTTAAAAGAAAGTCTCAAATTTACTTGGAATTCAAACCAAAATAAAAAGTTAAGTACTGGTCAACATGTGATTTTGAGGGTAAGTAAAACATTCTTTTGAATTTATTGAAAACATACTTATTTTATCAGTCAAATGCGAATATGAATCATTAACGTCTCGGTCATGTTGTAGATCTACTGATAACTAAATTTAAGTCAAAATTCACCGACAAGAAAAACAGAAAATATACTTCATACTAAATGAATTAAAATATTGAGTTCTTTACTAACAAAAGCTGAATACATAATCCCTCCTAAAACCTTAATTTTGTATAAAATCCAAAATAATCATCAAGAATATCAACCTTTGAAATATAAAAAATTCTCAATTCCTTTATTTGAGTAAATGACTTGGTCAAATCATTTTATTCTGATTTTCCTTCTTATAATAAACCAACCAAATCAGACAGTTCTTTTAACAACTTTTCTGTGCATAAAAATGAAGTGTTTTACCGTAGTCTTGCTGTATCCTTAAAATGTTTATTCCTGCTGCCAAGTAAAGATATCCATATGTTTACGCAGATTGAGAGTATTACTCTCTCAGTTACAGCCTTCCATACAACTTCCTTCCGATACACATTTTGTATTTAGAAACTGACTAATACTTATCTAAATAACAACTGACCAAATTGCAAAATATTTAATATCTAATTTAAATATAACTCAATCCAATACGTTAGCCATCCACCGATTATTTTCTCAATAATTTTCAAATGTTTTCATGTTTATGCAATAAAATATTGAGACAATACAAAGGCCACAGAAATGTGGGCCTTGACCAGGGTGGAACCTAGTCAATTTATCCCACCACTGCCACCAATTGTGGCGAAGTTGAGTCTCTCTATCTTTTACAAAACATGAAAACAAATATAGTTTAAAATATTAATTTATTAAAGAAAATTTAAAGTCCAAAAATGTCATTTCAATCGGCTACTTACAGTTTTTGGTTAGTCCCGAGTTCACGCAATGAGGTTCCGAGGATTTCAGACAAAATTGCCCCTTTTATACCCAATTTTTTTATGTGGGCCCCGCCAAAATAAGGGGTCTTATCCAATGAAATTCGCTCAAAACCCATTAACAAAAATTGGCCGGAAAGAAGTGTGAAAAATTATATGAAGATTAATTATCAACATGCCAAATTTCTGCCCACATTATTTTCTAAAAAGTTGAAAAGTTCCCATTTATTTCAGTTTTTGTTGAAACTTTTGAGACA